TAGGGAGAATCATCTCTAAGTCCTCTAGTCTTGTAAAATAAGTTTTCTTTGTGAGAGTTATTTTGTGAGTGTTTGTGAATATTGTTTTCTGAGCGTTTGTAAGAGATTGCCAATCTAAGGCATCTATTATTGTGCTATGTGTTACTATACCTCTGTAAGTATTGTTAAGATTTAAAGTATTGATTTTAAGATTTCTTTGAGTATTATCTATAACTTTCTTCAAAGTGTTTTATTGCACTTTATTTTCTATAAAATTACTATTCATTCACTATTTATCTGCATATCTCACTATTCTCCGCCATGTTCATCACTATTCACTAGCCTCACTAGCCTCATATGCCTAGTCAAGGTATGGACCTTGAAAGTCTTCGGAAAACCTGATGAACCAAGAATGTCTGAAGACGGAATTCTGTAATAGGAAAACTTTGTACCATGCATCTTGATAATCCCAGTAGTTAAATATTTTGGGCCTCTTGTCAATAGGCTTGGTGATGAACTTTGGCTTGCTAGTTGTGCCCCATGATAATAATAATAATAATAATATTTTTTTTTTATTGTTGTTGTTGTTGTTGTTTTCTTTCATTTTTCTTCCATTATTTTGTTGCATTACTTGCCCTTTTTTCCATGGTTTAACCAGGGTTGAGGGGGAGGGAGAGAATTGATGAAACTTGCAATTCTTGTAAATTCTCAACATCTTCCCAGGCCATCGTAGTTAGCTCTAGGTATTGATGGATGGGTGGATTGGTTTGAATGAAATATATCTATTGATTTGATAGAGAATGTGTTTGTCTTTTATTTATTTTTTTTCTTCTTTTCTCCGCTATTATCCATTAATGTTTGATTGTTTAATTCCTCTGATACCGAAGTCAGAGAAGATGATCGACCTATACTCTAGTGTAGAGGACCATTTTTGTTCAATTAGATGGAAAATCTAAGTAAATAAATACTGCAAAAAAATGATAAAAAATAGGGAAATTCCCGATAGGTACCCTGTACTTTAGGCAAAGTGCCAATTTAGTACCCGAACTTTAAAGCACAACAATCTAGTACCCGAACATTCAATTTGTGACGATCCAGTACCCAATGTTAACTCGCCATCAGTCAAAACCATCATGTGATATCAAGTGCGGTTTAAAAATTTTCCTAATACCAAAACTAACCTTTATGAAAAGATCCAAACCATTTTATCCTTTTCCCTTCGTATTTTCCTAATTTCCTTTATCTTTAATCTGGGTTGAAGGAACGAGAGAGGAGAGGAAACTTCACTCAACTCCCACCATTTTACCCAGCATTTTACCCAGAGAGAGGAGACTGACTCCTGATCTCGATTAGAGCTACATGAAGCCAATGACATACAATCATCTAGATCACCATGCATCAACTCCTCCAAACCCCGCTGGAACTCCGCACGAGCATCGTTGCTCTCCTGCTTCTGTTGCTGCACAAGGTGGGCTTGGTTGCTGAAGGAGCAATTGGGCGTGTCGTTTCTGCTTTGCAAGGTGGGACACCCAACTACAAGGCCCTTGCGGCCACTATGCTCACGAGTCTTGCCGTTGTGGAAGTTAACAAGGGGACGATCAGTGCCTACCCATTTGCGGTTAGAGGTCTAGTTTCCCTCCTTCAGGACGGGAACGAGAGGGGAAAGAAAGAGGCAGCCACTGCGCATAACCAAAGGAGAGCTGTAGAATGTGGGTCGGAACTAATTTTGGTCGAAATGGCTGATTCCGGGATTGAAAGGGGTGTTGAGGTTCTCAACCTGTTGGCCAAATGTAGAGAAGGTAGAGAAGAAATGGAAAAGCTTGATGGTTTTGTCGATGTTTTAGTTTGGGTGTTGGTCAATGGGATTTTGGTTCTTATTACCAAAAATCCCATGTTCCTTTTTCAAATTTATGTGGGGACCAGAGAAAGTTTATTTTCTTGTGTATCACTTACCCACGTAAGTGATACCCATCTCCTAGATGGGTAAATAACTTTCCCACCTATAGGGAAAGTTGCAAACACTTGAACGGGACAAAAATACCCCTTTTGATAATGGATTTTTATGGTTAAAATGGCCATTGCATTATTTACATGAGAAATAAAAGAACATAGGTAAATGCACTTACCAGAGTAAGTGTTTCCCAAGAAAAAACTTACCCAGGTGCATTTACTTGGGTAAGTAACTTACCGAAAAGCAAAAAGGGCCTAAAAATAAAAAACTAGAAGCAAACCTAAAGCTATAATGCTATAACCTTAAATTATGTTATTGGGAAAATAAAATAAAAGGGGGGAGAGAAAGATGTCTTTTTCTTAATTCTTACATTGGTGGGTCACTATGCTATTTTAGTCAAATTAATAAAATCTGTTAGCTTTATATTTTTACTAAATATGATTTGTATTGATTATTTTTATTAATAATAAGTGTTAATTATTGTTTAAATTAATAAAAGTGTTAGCTTTGTAATTACCAATAAATAATAACAGATATTAAAATAATTAAATTAATAAAAAATAAATAATTATTGGTTTTTTCATTTAAAAATAAATAAAATTATTATTATTATTATTAAAATTACTAAAAATTATTAATAAATTTAAATTTATTAAAAGTATATATTTAGTTGTTAAACTACTAATAATTAATTTCTAAAAATTAATAATAAATAAAAATATTTAATTATGAAATATTAAAAATAGTTTTGAAAATTTCCAGTTAATTAACAACAAATTTTGGTTATTAATTTATCAATTAATTAATGGTAAATAAAATTGTTCATTCTTTCATATTTTCCCGTGCATCGCCCAAGTCCCCACTAGTGTTCATGTGTGTGTAGCAAAATGGTCCACGTCACCTTAATTCTCCTTGCTCCATTACCCCAACCCACATTCTCCTTGACTCTCTCCTCTTCCCCTTCTCACCACTTCCAATTTGCCATCTCGGCAGTCAGCACCCTCTCTCTTCATTCCTCTCCCTTCCTCTTGGGTTCTCTCTCTCCCCCCACAACTCACGTCTCTCACTTTCTATAACAACCTAACTACTCTCCTTAATTAACTCAAAATATGTTTTATCCTCTCCTTCACTTCTATCTCTAATTCTTCTCTATTCTATCCATTGTCACATAAAAATAGGGTCATAATTTATTAAGATTTAATTTTCCAAATCAAACAATATTTATATCTATAGACGTGATTTCAAGCAAATTAAAGAGAGGGGAGTAGGGGGAATTTGATGTGTTCCTATATATTCATGGCATCTTCCATTATTGTTAAATAATCCATTAGTTATGAAAATTATTAAAATTTAACAAATATTAAATAATTTAATAATCTACTAAAACTTAATAAATAATCCATTATCTAATATTTTATTATTATTAATAAACGTTCAAAATTTCAACATTTAGCATAATTTACATTAATCATTGTAATTTAATAAATTTTTACAATAATAATTTATCAATAAAAGATATTACTAATTAGCGTAATTTACCAATTTCTATAAAATCAATAATTATAGTTAACAATTATCAAATAATTTAGGGAAACTATTTAACTAATAATCCATAATTATTTTTTAAATAAGTAATTAAAAATTAGGAAACTAATCTATGAACAAAAATTCTCCAAAACTATTTAAATAACAATCCATTATTATTATTATTATTATTATTATTATTATTATTATTATTATTATTATTATTATTATTCAACCAAATAATTATTAAAAATTAAGGAAAGTAATCTATCAAAAATTGTTTCATAATTGTTTAAATAGCAATCTATTATTATTATTTCAATAAATAATTATTAAATAATTTAGAAAGATTATTGTCTATCCACACCAATCTAGACCACTTGGTTGACTTCGACCATACCTGGTTTTACATTAATTAACAACAAATGGTTTATTTTTAATTAAAAATAATGTAATTTATCATAATTATATTTATTTTTCTATAATTACATTTACTTTGATTAATAGTAAATAATTTACATTTATTTATTGTTATTGTATATGATTAACTTACTATACATTACTACTAATCAATAGCAATTTCAATAATTTTTTTGGAAATTATCATAAAATATTGTAATTTATTGTTATTTAATTTGTTGTTTGTCAATCAGTTATAGAAAATTTGGGAATTCCCCATCCCTGACAAGGAATGGGTGCCTCGCCTTGAATCTGCTTTCCTATTCGATTCTATTTGTTACGATCAAAAAGAATATTCAAATTTTGGCTCTTATAGGATCAAATTTGAATTCGAATTGAATTTTTGTTTTTTTTTTGTGTTGAATTCGAATTGGATCAATCCCACTTACTTAGAGCCATATTCCATGGAACGATGTCCTCAGAGCAACCTGCTCACATGTTATATCAGAGTTGACAATTCAATTTGGTCAATCATTAATATATGCCACATGAACGGTGGATAACCCCAACATTCACATCAGTGATCAGCCTATACTGCATTGGGCTTGAAATGCATTCTCTTACAGTTTAGTTATACAAACTTCAAATATTATGAACGTATAGATCTATATATACCATAAATTATTTGCCTTGTGTTCTAGTCCAAATACCATAATTGTAACACTGCCACGTGATTTCTTCATCGCAAGATCTTATGGTACATGAAATCCAAATTAAGCCCCCATTTGTTTTTAAGAAAGTTATTATCCAGATAAATGCATTTATCCGATTAAGTATTTTTCTAGAAAATACTTATCCAGATAAAAAGCCATTACTAAAAGGGATAATTTTGTCTCATCAAAGTTTTGGCAACTTTCTCCTTTCTTAATTGAGAAATAGATATGAGAATCAAAATCTTTTCTCCCTCTCAAAATCCATACGCAAACAGACCCAAACTGTGTTTGATTTGAAAAGAAAAAAAAAAATAGAAAAAGGCAGATAAACCTTTACAAATCTTATATACGTTTCCTTACCTTTCCCTTCAAACCAAACGTGGCCTTAATGATAAGTTACAAGGCTCGCAGGACACCAATCCCTGCTCAATAGTCGAGTTACTAATATGTCAGATTGTTAGCCTGCTGCTGACCTGAAGCCATTCATGATACATCCCCAAAATTGTCTGTATCACACCATTTTAGAAGCCGTGACAAAAAAAAAATGCAATATGGAGCTTCAAATCGTACATAACAATGTCCAAAGAAATCCACCTCAGCGATAAATAAGAAAGAACCTTTATATCCTTGGACAGGAACTTTCACTGTTGCACAAGTGAGGAGGTAATAGTCAAATCCGATTGTGACAGAGCCCTTACCCCTCGTCCCATGAAAACCATAGGTTACAGGATCCCTTCCAGCTGATCTAAAGCATTTACAAGGTCAACCTTTTCTTGTGCTTTTAAATTCTTCTCAAGTTCTCATCTCGTCAGAAGAACCACCTGCAATACGGGCAAACAACTTGCTAGAAATATTGGGGCTCGTTCCCCATCATTCCGTGTCATTGCAGGTTGAAATGGTAAGATGAAAAAGAATTATATTATTACAAAGATTAATAATGTACAGTTACAAAAGGTAAAGGTGACATCCCAATTCCCAACTACTTCTCACGTTAGATTGATTCTTGTATGGATCCTGTAACTCGTTCTTTTTATATAGATAATAATTTTAATTCAGTATATACCTTGGGGTTGCCATCCACATTTTCTCTTCAAACAACAATAGAAAGATTAAACATTTGAATATATACCCCACAGCCTTGCAACTGCGCTTGTACTCCGGCATTCCGAGTTCCATGCAATCAGCAAGCTATGACAAATTGACAAGGGAGAGTCAAAAGTTCAACCCAACATGAAGGGTCAGCACCTCCAGATGCAAGAGCCCTCCCTCTCCACCACCCCACAAAAAGAAAAATAAACTGTGCTGGTTTAGCTTCAAACATACTTCAGCTTGCAGATCCTCCAACTGGCTGGCTGGCTGCTTGCCTGTGCACGCTACTCCCACTTCTCCGCAAGTTATCCAGGAAAGAAGCAAAATCCCCTTGCTGAGCCTTATCTTGAGAATCCAAGTCAATCAACATGGCTTTGCTTAGTCCCATCTTACTGCTTGCAGGAAGGAATATCAACTATTTCCAGACAGCTCCAAGCTTCTTGCAGAACTATTATCCAACAGATCATTTTGAGCCAATCTCAACTTGCAACATCTGCAGCATTTTGATCTGACAAAGCACTCAATAATTCAACTTTCATTCTTCAGGTTCCATGTTTCCCTTGATCCACTCGATCTTTTGTATAACTCAAGTTGCCTGTGTTGAGCATGATCTGGCTTGTCCTCCATCATGCCTTGTGCTGCTGAACAAGGCAGAAGATGAGCAAATTCTCCTCAATTGTCCAGCCCAAGCAAAGGAGCACCAAGAAAATTGAGGTCAAGTGATCTTTCCCTAACTCCCTTGGGCGCCAAAAACACCTGTAGACATCATTGCAGCTAGCCCCATTACGAATCTCTCTTGCCCAGCACCCCAGAACTTTGTTTCTTTTGGATGCCATATTGCCAGGCATCTCGAGATTTATCTCCTGACTGATCCAAATCATCCAAGGAATTCTCTGGAATCCTGAAGTTTCGGTAGGCTCCATTCCTCGTCATTGGCAAACTGTTCAGCTTCTCGTCTTCTTCTGAGGGTGTGCCTGATTTAGACTCAGGATGTAAGTCCATGTGTCTCTGCCTTGGTCCAGATGTTCTCAAACCCCTCGTGTTAGAGGAAGCTTTACCCATAAATGGAGTATATGCAGGGCCTTTTGGAACCAGGAATTCCTTGGGTAGAGAATCCATGTCAACATAACAGTTCCTTGCCTTCGCATCAGTGATCAATGCAGCCCAGTCGTCAGATTGCACCAGAGCATTGGCATTGCCCATAACCTGTTAATACATCAAAGTTCAAAGAGAGAATATACGCCAATGCATGCTTGTGTGAATGTACTTATAAAATGGGAGAAAAAGGAAAATAATCAGAGGGAAATCATACCCATAATGCTCGCCTTGCACGAGTTAGAGCAACATTCATCCGACGAATATCAGCAACAAAGCCCACACCATGATTTGATGCCCGGACACATGACATGATTATGACATCACGTTCTTGACCTTGGAATGCATCTACAGTGTTTATATATAGGTCTTTCCCTTCTTCTGAATTCAAAACCTCCTCAAACTCACGTTGGAGGCATTTTAACTGCAGCTTGTAAGGGGTTATTATGCCAACAGAGGCTTTCCCAACTCCCAAGGATTTCAAAGTTTTCTGAAGATGCTCATACAAGCGGAAACAAAATTGTGCTTCGTGAATGTTTTGGTAAGAGACTGATCCACCTCTATGAGATTCACGCCCATGTGTAATATCATAGAAAATATAAGATCTCAATAAAGGATCCTTGAAGTAAACCTCATCAGGTTGATTGGCAACACTTTCACTGTCAGTAAGACGTCCTTGGTAAAAGTACCTGGAAGGGAAATCCCGGATTTGAGGATGCATCCTGTACTGCACGGACAACAACATTGTTCGACAACCAGCATGCTGGAACCTCTCAAACAGACTTCTACTGTATAACAAGGTCCCAGCAGCCTTGCTAATAACTGTTGCAGGAAGCTGCTGAGGATCTCCAACAAGAACACAGCGAGCTGCACCAAGAGAAAGAGGAGGAAGAATAGCAACTTCACTAGCCTGAGCTGCCTCATCAATAACAACCATATCAAAACCATGAGTAAGACGAGAAAACAACTTGCGACCACTACTTGACACTGTTGTAAAAACAATCTCAGCTTCATTGGCAAAACTAGCTTCCAAATTTGCACGAGCTTCTTCCATATTGAAACTGCTACCTGCACGAAATCTACCTTCCAAGATGAGAAGGCGGGACATCTCCACCAGAATTTTATCCCTTCCCTCTACAACTGCTGCTAGACTTTGCAGTAATGTGTCACGATTATGGTCCCGAGCAACAAGAATATCAGGATCAACACCAACAGAACCTTGAGAACGTCCTGCTGCAGCTGCAGCGTTTAATTCCCTCTGAAGACAAGCAATCTGTTGTGATAGCTGAGCCTCACGAAGCTTCAACTGGTGCATCCAACCAATAATTTCCTCACGGCTCTTGACTAGAATCTGCTCAGTCCTTCGCTCAACAGAAACAGCTTGTGCAGCACGAGTCTGTGAATCAACACCAACTCGGGCCACATCAGGCCGGTAGACTTTCATCTCACCATCAATAAATCCACGGTCAAGAACACGTGCTAGCAATTCATCAGTTGCTGCATTTGAAGGAGCACATACAAGCATCCTAGGTTTTGGGCAGAGTTTTGGCAAAGTGCGGAAGAGATTCTGATCCATGCTCTGAAGAACTTCATCAATAGATCCTGTGCTAACACTCTCAGAATTGCCCTCATTAGCTTGCTTATAACTTTCTGGAGCTAATTTTTTAAGCAAGGCAGTGTAATAATGTTGATACTGAACAAGATGGATGACATTTAACATTCCCCACACCGTGTGAGTTTTTCCTGTTCCTGGAGGCCCTTGAACAAGAGTAAAAGGCCAAGGATCTTGCCTCTTTGTCATCCCACTACTGGTGCCAGCAGCTGTATGCATCGCAGCCCATTGAATGGCAGCCAATTGAGGGCCATTAAAGGTCCTGTGCAGATACTCAACAAAGTTTTGTGTGAAGCATTCAGGCATAGCAGGAGGTTGTTCTTCATATTTAGGGAAATACTCTGGACTTGGCTTGAGGATTGCAGTTTGCATCTAGACAGAAACCACAAAAAAAAAGCTTGAATAGGCATTTTTCAGAGGACATATTGCAAATATATGCTATGAACCCATTTTTCAATAAACTGGATATGATAAATACCTGCAAATTGAGACGACGAAATGCATGCAGGGCAATATATTCACGTTGAGTAGTTGCAAGGGAACCAAGCACAGTAAGATACCAGATGCCCTTGGGTTGAAATTTCCTCAAGATATGATCATCATCAACCTTGCTGAACCCCAAAAATAGAACTATTATTAGAGGATGTTATAAAAAATGCTGCTGCTTTCTATAAATGACTGGGGCATATCATTGTCCTTGGCCATGACGAGAAAAAGTGTCATAACTTACAAGATGAGAAGATGCAAATAACTCAAGCTCAAAGAACTAAGATTCCAAAACTGACCTGTTAGCATCATGTGTATCCCCAACATAAAAGTGAAGAATGGCCCCTGGAGGATCACGACTATCAATGGGTATATATCGCCTAACAGTACCAGCAACACGTCCATTGACCTCAGGCTCCATATCATCCTCACTTGCAACAGAACTTTTCCTCTTAGATCTGGCTGCTTGATAATGTACCCAGTTAACATTACAGGCAGTAAATATGAACAACGCACAATAAATGTGGAGAGAAGGGGCAGAAATTAGTCATAAATCAAACCTGTTCCAGGTCTTGGGGATGAAAGAACAGCAACATCACCTTCCTTAAACGTCCATTTGGTTTCATGCATAGGAAGAACTATTACATCATACCATCCTAAAACCCACAAATGAATCTATAGTTTAAAGAAACTAAGATAATATTAACAATCAAGAAAAGGAAGAAATGACCTTTAAAAATATCAAGCATCATCTGTTCAATAGAATTAGTTATGCAAACAACCAAACACATGTATGAACCAAAGTGCCAACAAAGTGTCTTCAGAATGCAATACACTGAAGGAAACACTACCAAGCACCGATCTCTTATCTTATTCATTTACTAATAAAACACTTCATAGGAAGGCAAATGATGCTGACAACATGGACAAGATATTTCTCCCAGAGAAAGACATGCAGTCACTAACATGACAGGATCCAGGTCCTCCCACCAATATGATAAATTCATCAAGGAACCAGTACGTCAAACAGGACTAAATAAATGAGTGTAAATGCTGATTACCTCTTTCTCGCCTTTCCACATTTTTTATACGAACCATCACATGTGCATCTCTTGAAACCATTTCAGTAAATTCCTCCCAAGTGCTGTATAGTTGTGCCCGGCATTCCTCAAACAACAAAGGTTCAAACACTCTAACATACTCTTCTACAGATTCAAAACGTCCTGGAACACATTGAAGTTCTGTCTCCTCTGATGAACAAACACAGTTGTATTATATTCTGAAACAGAAAAATCCCTGGAACATAACATGCTACATTGCTACCAGAAATGAAAAGAACCAATAAGCCAGCAAACTTAGTATATATGAGTTAGAAATACAATCCTCAGATGAAGACTTAAGAGTGTAATATGGAAGCCTCATTCACCACATTTAATGGTTTAATCTGTTATCAGTGTTTCATTGCACTTCAGAGGAAAGCTTATACATACATCATCCATGAAACTCCACAGGAACTTTTTTCTTCTAATTTGGCATTTCCTCTCGTATTGTGAAAACTTGATAATTTAGGATTTACAAAGAACTATTATTTTAAGTTATCTTTTTATTTCTCACTTGAGAAGCCCTAAAAAGTCCTCTGGCTAGGATTCAATTACAATCCCTTGAATTTAGAATTCAACATGGCCACTCTAAAAGTTGGATGCCTACCAACTGAAGCTACATGGGATCCTTCTACCATGAATGGGCCCAAAGTTCTTCAATCCACAGTTTCGCAAATTTAACATCCAATATAAAACCAAATTCCTGGTCTTCCCTCACAACTCTATTAGCACTTAGCAGGACATGATGGCACAGGGTAGATTTTTTTCTTTGTAAAATCCTGTTATCTTTCTTGTACAGATAGCATATAAATGTACAAGCTTAGAAGGAGGCTCCCCCTCCATTTAATAGAATATCTCACAATTACTTATCAAAAAATTTAAAAAAAAAAAAGAAACATAATGGCACATGCAGTTCAGTAAAAGGCACAAAATATTTGGTTGCATTCCAATATGCTCTATTCATCTCAGCCATTTCATCATGACAATCAGACTATACTAGAAGCAATATGGGCAAAACGATACCAATATTTTTCCAATAATAAACCATTTCAGTAACTCTCTGAAACTTTTGCATCAAGTAGCAAGAGTCAAGAGATTATTAGCTCTATACCCAATGGATAGTTCAAAATAACTTGATCTTTTCCAAGTGATCAATATTTTTATACCAAAACTACCCTGGTGCAGTCCAGTCTGGTCCACAGGCACACATTTGTCTTTCCAACCTTTACAACATTAGTTGCCACGATTTTATATGGAGAAGACAATTCAGATTTTGTTTCACATTGCCTGGTAAGTAAGGAGAAAATCAGAATGGGGATTGCAATTGAAACTTTGAGAAGCATACAGAACACAAAAGGAATAAAGTTGGGAAACCATGGACAGTGGAACTCTAAATAGCAGGCCTCAAAAAAATGCATATAAAATAATCAAGTGAACCAAAAAGCATAGAAACAAAAAACAGGATATAGTAATTGAAATAGTCAATAGATAATGGTTTAAAATACAAAGGCTCAAAGATGTCAAACCTGGACGATGCCATAACTTGTCATTGGTCACCTCCCTTAGAAGGCGTTCAACGGATGTATCTTGATATTGTACATTGTTTGTAGTTTGTTTTTTGACAGGGAGATGTTTCTTATTACCCAATTTTTTATCCATTGGGTTTTGAACGACCAAAGGTTGTTTCCTAGTTGGCACCTGTGCATTCTTGAGTTGCCTTGAATCTGCAGGCTGCTTCCATGAACCTTGTCTTGGAATGAACGGTGGATACATCTCTGCATGGTTGTCATTGCCGCTGTTTAGCCTCTTAGACCTATGTCCTGAATTTATATCACCATTAGATTCAGATTTATGGTCAATATATTCCATTGGAATGCCTCCTTCATTACATAATGTATCTCCCTGTTTTGGATCCTTGGCTATGGACTGCCCCTGCCTGTCACCACTGCATTCAGCTGGAGAGGGAGTATTACGAATTTCCTTCACTGTCCGAGTAGTTGTGAGTGCTGAAAAGGTTTGCCTTCTTGGAGTGGAAGTTTTAATGGGGCCAGCTTGCCTTACATCCTCCAAATTAAGAAACATTGTTTGTCTAGTACGTTTTTTTCCTAACATTGCCTCCTTGTGTTGATCAAGCTTATTCTTCTTCACAGGATTATTTGCACATTTGAGTGCATGAATTGCTTCAACCCCTTTAACTTCTCTTTTAGTCACAGCTACTGAAGACTCTTCCTGTCCATCATTTGCTACATCTACTTTTGTATTGCCCTCTGAATGTCGGCTATTGCTGCATATCCCATCAAATGGTTCTGGGTCCAATCCTGAAGAAGCCTGACTATGAATCCCATCCTTTTTGACGTCTGTAACATCATCCTTCGTGCCCCCGGGAACTCTAAAATCACAAGAGATATTTTCAACAGTCTTCGCCAAAGTAGAAAGATCAGTTCTATCAGCTATTTCTTGCTTTTGTGTAGCTAATCCATTATCATTAATTTGTTGTTCATGCTTACTGATGTCTGTAGTGCTGTCAAATGCACCAGCAGAACCTTCAGCATCTGACCATTCCCCTTCTTCCCTTTCAACAACTGGAGCATCAGCAAGGCCAAGAGGCTGCAGTAGTGCCACTGCTTTATTTTCCTCAGAGTGACTTGTATTAGATGATGGAGCAGCTTTGTAATCCAAATTATCTTCCTTCTGTTTAAAATACTCTTCAGCATTGTGCACATCTTTAGGCCTAACAAATGGTTGGAAGCCTGAAACAGATGATGCATGCGAGAATGCATGGTTATTTACTATTCTTTGAGAACCCTCTGATGATGCAAACAAATCAGACTTGCAAGGATTTGAAGATGGAAATGCCTTTTGAGGCTGGAAACAGAGGACACCATCATTCTCTTCATCTTCTTCAGCAGGGGGTTCATTAAGATCAAAGAGTGGTCTTCCTCGACACCCCATCTCATATGTAAATGCATACAAGCTCAACTCTATTTCCAGCCAGGGCTATGGACTGCTTTTGTTGATTTTCTTTTACAGAGAAATGTCCATGACATGCCGATAGTACAGATGATTGACACCAAATCTTTAGAATTGACTTCCAGAAGAGTAGAGGTCTCTGCATGTTCATTCAGTGAAGACATTTAAATAAGCTATGTGATAGAAACAAATATTAGTACTTCTTTAGGCGAGTAGATCAAAATCAGACATACCAGGGCATATTTGTACGACAATCCAAACTCCATATTATCTTCATTGGCCAAAAGGTTTTCATTGCAATTCCTCTTATCCAAGGAAATAACAATTTACTGCAAGATTTCACACTTGATAAATCAGTAATGGTAAAAAAATTAAATAATCAAGCATATATCAGATCATCTGATCTCAGACTACCACAAGCAGAAAATTATGCACAAAAAGCATCTGTACAATGAATTTAAGTTGTTCTCTCATCTTGCAGATTTACAAATAATGGTAAAAATTATAAGATCTTTATATTGCAAGAGAAGGAATTAGCAAAATTTCCTGTTAATATTCTTGTATTTACTCAAGTATATGGTTCATTTTTGTTATTAAATGAAGCATTTTGCATCCTCGGCAGCAGATACATTGTAAAGCATGGAGAACAAGTGAAATAACCTACCAGTATATCAGGCAGGGTTATTAATTGTCACTGCTTATAAGATCTTTATTCGTAATTGCTCATAGAAAAAACAAGTGAAAGAGCCCGGCCATTGTGACTGTTGAAATTCAAACCTTGAATATTTCTAATTCTTTTCAAATAAGGCTGCGTGTTTTGACAGTTTATGAATAAAAAGGATAACAGATGAAAATGATAATGTTAAGGTTATTGGTACTATAAAGCATTCAAGAATATTTTATAAGCCAAAAATATGTATACAGTACACAATTACAACCCCCATTATCACTAGATCCCATAAAGATAACTCCCACCCCTAAAATTTCTCTTCACCATCAGGGCAAAGACGTAGGGACCAATACAACCCATCAGAACAATTTGAAGTTCTTCCTAGAGGGAAAAAAACAAGCAAAGAAAATAAACGAACAATTAAATGCAAGTGTACACTACACAACCAAAAACAGGAAAAGAAATAGTCTAAAACTTCAATTCCCGTGCAATTTATTTAATGAACAAACCTCATGGTCTAGTAGTCAAGTCAAAACAATCCTAAGCACAAAAATTTGGCAGAAACAACATTACATTATTCTCATTAAAACCAAAAGCAATAAAGGACCACAAAACCAGACCTAGTTAACTTCGTCAAGTTTCCACATCCCCATCAACATCTAAGGAGGTCTGACTACCACTTGAGGGTAAAGACACTACCATCTTACTTACCGTAAGAAAACCATCCAATGGTTCCAGATGGATTGAACCCCAGACCATAGAAAAAACATAGACTCTAAACACTCCATCCTAAGACTGATGCAGCATTTTCTTAGGGTTTCACGGAACAGAGATTAAGTAATAAAACTCTAAATCACTCGCTAATTCTTCTTCCAGAAGTACAAATCCTCAATCCAATCAACGAATTCATCAAATATACCAGATATATAATCCTTTCGGTTATTAAAATGAGCACAATCCTGTCTGATTAATAAAACTCTAAATCACTCGCTAATTCTTCTTCCAGAAGTACAAATCCTCAATCCAATCAACGAATTCATCAAATATACCAGATATMTAATCCTTTCGGTTATTAAAATGAGCACAATCCTGTCTGATTAAGAGAAGGTCACCAAACAATAAGAGAATTTATACCGGGGGGAAATCACAAATAAATATTAATATTTCGATATGCTTCTCCGCAACCGATCTTTTAGCACTTCTCAATCAAGCAATATCTTGTACCAGTAATCAAAATTTAAAAAAATAAATAAATTAACAGAAAATAAATAAAAGATTCGGAAATAGATTGCATCTTACCTCTCAGGAACTCCGAATCCAGAGACAGAGATGGAGAGGGATTAGAGAGCCTGAGCGAGAGAGCGAGAGAGCGAGCGAACGAAGAGAATGAATGCAAGTAAGAGGGAGGAACGGGTTTATATAGGAAATATCGGACCCAATTTCTGGACGGAAAATCTGTCCGGTCGCCGTTAAAACTTTTTCCTGGCTAAATAGATAATTTGGTTTCCGCTAACTTTATTATATTTGTTTATCCATTCTAGGAAATAAGAAAGAGATGGAAATAACCATAAAACTCCTTTGTTTTGCAACTATTTACATTAAATGGCATTAGAATTTGAATTGACGAAATTAGCCGGAATCTTTAGAAAAGTTGTAGAATGAGGACAAAAGGATACCGGTGTCATTACGCACTTCAGTTTCAGACTCTGGAGTGTTTAAAGATTCAATTGCCGCCGGGGTCACCGCGTGGTTGACGGGTCCAAAGAAGTTTTTCGGGCACATATGTTGCGAAGGGAGACGAATCCGGATCTTCTTAGATCTGTGCAAGAAAACCAGCTGGGTCAGATGTTCTTGACCGTCTGATCCTTAGAAGATAAAAAGGGAAAGTTTTTGCATCGTAGAAAATATTCTAATGCAGCGGCTTATGTGCATGGACTACAAAGTTAGAAGTGGTTGAGTACGTATATTATCAGCTCCAGAATGAAAAGTTCCAAATCTAGAGATTTTAGGTACAGTTGTCCCCGTGACCATTCTATGCTTACCCAAGGAATGCAAAATTGACACACGTGCGAAAAGGCCCAAAGCTGAAAGCCCTAAGCCGGGGAAGGTTGAAACGGTCGCATCTTCTTTTCCTTAACCCACTGTGAATGAATTCGGATTTCGGATCTGCTAACTAAGATATATATACATTGTTCGCCAGGTTAACCCAGCCGCACATTGAAAACATCTCTATTTATTTTATATTATTAATATTCTTTATGTACAAGTTGAACTTGGCCAACAATGAATTCGGATCTACTTACGTGCGTACAATTCATTCTTTTCCATAAGCCCTTGAATTTCAGTGAACATGTCATTGAGGAGCCATTAATTAGGGGGTGCAAGTGCAACTTTGGCAGGCTGAATAGAAATGAGGGTGAACGTCAACCCAATTCGAGTCGGGTTTGGGATCGAGCTCAATTATGGTTAATCAGGTTTGAAATAATTTTTAATGCAATAATGCATATGTATTGGTGCATGGCTTTGACATTAAATTAATTTATATACATATTCATTGTGCACAATAATAGTATATTATGTGAGATCAAATTGGGTCGGATTGGGCTAAAACTATTTGAAGCCTCAACTAAGTTAGATCAAACCCAAGTTGTTAGACTGATCCAACTCAAAATCTAAAAATTTGAAGCCCAACCCATGCAAAAGCTCAGGTGGGTCAGGTTGGACTTGGGGTGGACTTGCCCAACTTGCAAGCCTTACCATTAATTAAAGCAACAGCTGAAATGGTTAAACTGAATAGTACTTTATTATTTTCATGATTTAATAAGTTATTAAGAAGGTTAGTGACTTTTCTTTTAAGACTGAAAACTAAACTCGGTTTGATTAGTATACCCTCAAACATTTTATTATTTAGTTATTTTATCCATTTGATGACAAAGTAATAATAAATCATCAAATTTTATAGCTATGTTTCTGGTGGTAAGATCAGAGTTTGGATCTACTTTTCACACTATTTCCACGAAACATGGGGAGATATTCTTGATATCCGGCTGCAATGCCTTGTGAAGATGGTGTCAGGAGAATATCCAGATCCAGGGAATAATCATAACACCCCACGCCAGTCATAGATTCTGGATCATGGGATCACACTGATGTCTTACATGCACATCAAACCATGCATTGGGATTATCTCCCGTATTTATATATCATTAAGAGATGTTTTCAATACATGAGTAGAAAGTGCTGTGGGGCTCCCTCAGTGAAGCGCCGATGTGATCTCGTGGATCATAAGGCCTGCGTGGGGTATTATGATTGACCCCACAGCCCGAAACACAACTATGAAATTCAGCTAATCCATTCTCCTCTATAACTGTTATATGTTCATAACATTAGCCAGTTAGCATCACAACCAAATGAAATAAATTACATAAAATTCAAATACTTAATACATATCGAGATCAACATGTCAAAACTAAATATCAATGTAGCCATTTAGCATCACAACCAAACAGTAGATCTCCAAAATTCTTGATACATGGGCAAAATCTGATTCAAATTAACCTCTTCAATTCGTTGTAGCCCTTTTCATTTCATTTGCCAATCAAATCATTTCTTATTTGAGTTTTTTTTTTTTTCAATGATGCCACATTATCAAGTTTTAATTTGATCATTTGCAGATTTTTAGAGTTTGCTTGCAATTCAAACATGTTAATAGCTGAACAGTTTTCTTGATAAGGGCACATTTACAAACTTACAAATACCTTAAATCACATAAATATATATATATATATATATATATATATATATATTTGAAAAAAAAATAAAAAGAAAAAGTAATTAATCAAAATAGAAGGGATCAACTTAATTAGGTGATGTTCCGTAGAATTGCTGATTTTAAAAAATCGACACCATGTTAGAGCCACTTCAGCAATTCAAAAATCATTGATGCATTTGTTGTTTGGTTGGCCGATTTATGAAAAATTGACAAATCACTCATAAAACAATTATTAAGTATGTGTTTGGTTTTATTGGAGTTTATTGAAAAAATGTTGCTATATGGGTGTTAGCGTTTATTGCATATGAAGCAAATGAAACAACTGTTTGGTTTCATTATTTATCAAATAAACGGTAAAAAATTGAAACACTTTGATTTTTATGCATGGAGCATTTGAGGAAATGTCAAATTCTTATTTCTCCAATGCCCCAACATTTCTTGAAACCAAATGTTGATGTGTCACACCTTAATGGGTATTAATATGAGATGGAGAATAAAAAAACATAAATAAATGACCATTTAAAATAAGAAAAAAACCATTTAAAGTGGAAAAGTATAAATAAACATCTAAAGTGGAAAAACACAAATAAACGACCACCCATAAACGTAAATAAAATCAACCACCCTCTAAAACAGGCCTAAAAGATATCACCGTTTTCAATGATTCCTCCTTTCATGCCAATTCCAAGTTTTTATTGAATCATATGGCATATGTGAATAAGGGAGATAATTCTTATAAAAAAAACCACTATTGATAATCACTAACCAACAAATTTATTGTGAATTAATAAAAAATCAGCTGATATGACATTAATGATATCAATAAGCGTGTTAATCGACCGATTTTGGATCGGATCCAATTCAATCCAAACCTTATCAAATCAAATTTGGACACTTTATTATAAATAATGGATTGGGTCAATCCAAAATAAATAAACTTTTAGCTATAATGGATACAAACATGAATTACAATAAAACATATGCCTTTTTTTTATCAGAAGCACACTTAAATGCAAATTTACTTCTTTTTTGTTGATATACTTTTACATTTTATTATCAATATAAATATACATTGTAAAATGTATTTTCTGTCATTTATCAATACATAAATATAATATTGTCAAACACAAAAAAAAAACCATAATGCAAATTTACCCTAAACCAAGATTTATACTCCATTTGCATCATTTCCAAACCCAACTTAAGTGTAAATACGACCGGTATAAAACTCCACTCTCGACCCATATTTTCATATATTTGTTTTCTTACATCCATATTATCGCATCAAAAATACTCCAACGGTCTACCTAAATTTTAAACCCATGAATTGAGTTTTAAATAGATGAATTTTAAATCACCAAAACAATTGCAGCCTTAAATCAAGGGCTATCTTAATTGAGCCGACTGGTGGAAAAGATGGTTTCAGACTTTGGGTCTCTATGATGCAGAAGAAATAGTAGTTATGTGGAATATCTATGGAACCAACAAACCAATTGATTTGACGCCTCTAATCATTGATTTCCTACAATATTTCATAAAGTGAGGTTCTTACTTTTGGCCGTCCAAAAATCTGACGAAATATTGCAATTAATGGACTACTTTATGATATCAAATTAATGTCAGTATCTTCTTTTTTGACGAGATTTAATGTCGGTATCTGTGTAACCTTTAAATCAGTAAACCTTATCATCTTTATGTGACATCGCCTGTATTATGCGTGCCTTGAAATCAAAGAAGAAAATGAAAAATAGGAGTTCCATCACCATGAAACATTAGAACCACAACTTTTTAGGCATTTAAAATTGATCTTTCACATAAACAGAAGATTCAGTGCTTGTCAAATGTCGGGTCCAAATTCATGCTTTCTTGGCGGTGTTTGTTTTCATGGCCCCAGTCTGAAGTAAAACATTTTGATTATAGAAGGAAAAAAATATGACTGCATTTTTACTGGCTATAAAGTTCTGTATCTCTTTTGAGATGAAACAAAGTTAGGGTTATTTCGTGGCCCCAGTAAATACTTTCTATAATGATTCAAGAGGTTTGTAAAGCAAGTGGGTGTTATCTATTATATATTGCTAATACTTACTTTTGCTAAGTCATAAAAACCAAGTCAAAGTATCACATTATATAAGATTAGGGTGGGCACGAGTCGAGTCTTTCATCAGCTATTTGAGTTTAATTTGTGAAAAGCTCAGTTTGACTTGATTTAAATCGAACTTTAAATTGAATTTGAATTCAATATATAGGCTCGTTTGCTAATCGAGCTGAGCTTGAGTCCAATGAAATTCGGTTCATGAGGTTTGCAAGCCTAGTATTAAATAAATAATTTTTATTATATACATACATACATATAAATATATATAATAAATAATTTTATTATATATAATAATATTTCTATTTTTTATGTATAATAGTAAATAATTTTTAGCATTCTTATTTTCTTGTATGTAAAATAAAAATATTTTTTATAATTATTTTTTTGTATATATAATATTATAATTTTTATAATTCTTAATTTTGTCTAAAAAATAAAAAATAATAATTTTGTACATATAATTTTTATTTAAAAAAAAAAACTTGGTTTATAGTCGAGTTTGAGTTGAGCCAAGCTTGAACTTGTAATCTATGAACCAAGTTGAGCTCAAGCTCAAGTCTCTAGCTCGAGCCTAATATTATTCTTGTGAGCCAAGCTCGAATAGCCAAGTATTCAGCTCGGCTCGTCTCAAATCCACCCCTATATAAGATTAATGGAAAAATCAATGATACCAAAAGACAAGGTACTGGAAAAAGCTTTGACCAATCAAAGCATTCATGTGAATTGTGATGAACAATTGAATACCAAAGCATTCATGTGAATTGTGATGAACAGTTGAATACCATCTAATTAGTCACCTTTTTATGATATTAGTTGATTGGATGCAACTTTTTCGGATATCATAATCAAACCCAAGATTGATTTATATGTTTATCTTTTTATCATTATTTATACACCTTCAACTAAAAAGAGTTATGGGAGATGATGAGAGTGAGAAACAATGAGAGTTATGCAAAGTATAAGATCAAACCAATGCATGCTGATAGAAGAGAAACAATGAAATCAGGAGGAGGTAAAGTTGGATTCGGCCATTGAAATTTTTACAAAATCTCAACCCTAACCCACCCAAGATGCACCCCTGGTAATAATATAACTGTTATTTATATTGATATGTAGCATGTCAATAAATACCCAATCACCTCCATTGTGGATACCTCTTGTACCTGTCTCAAATTACTAGGTCTCAGGTCCACAAAATAATGGACTCGATCATGGTAGTAGCTGTCCATGTAACAAAGTATAGATTTTTTTAACAAAGTTTAGATGTTAGTGATCTATATAAGAAATTCTCATTTTTTAATATAATATAATAAGACTTTACTAGTACAAAAAAAAAATGGTGGATTGTGTATGAGACCTGTTTTTGAATCTGAATGTAATGGGGTAGGCTTATGGGATTAGATTATTGTGTCACATACGCAAATACCATTATGGTAAAAAGGAAAATTCTATGAAACAATGGTGTAAGGGCAGATATGTTGTATGAAAAAGAGTGTTGAACAGTAGGGAAATAATATGTCTAAAAAATGAGTATAGTAGAAATGTGAATATTTAGTTAAATGATAAAACTATAAATGATAGGGTTAGAAATGAAACAATACAAAGGAACTTAAGAATAGTTTCAATTAATGATAAAATGAGAAAAAGTAGAACAAGATAGTTTGGTAGTGCATAAAACACCTTCTACAACACCTATTAGAAAAAAGTGATCAAATTGGATGGGGCAAAAAGAGCTAAAGGGAAGACCATGGGTCCATGAATTAATAAGAAGCACCTATAAACAATCATGGGTCCATGCCTTTGAACATTTTCCACATAGTTTAGGTGGTCATGTTACTATTTTAAGATGACAAAACAAATAGTTTTTAATGAAAGGTTGATTGAGTAAATATGTTACAAAATATAAGAGATGTTTTAGTAAAATACAAACTATATGATAGATTGAAGTAAATATGTGAACCTATAGGGGGTGTTCTAATAAATAACCTTTTTTTACGAGAAAATATTTCTAAGCAAGGGACAGTATGAATGATGTGAGCATTGAACATGATTTTGTTGAATGGCCCCATTAATAATGAAAGGAAAAACTCCAAAATTGAAATAAAATTGTTGGTTTATGGGTAGAAATCCAAATTTTAATAATAAGAGAAAATTCTCGCTTAGTATCTTGTAATTTGGGCCTTTGATCCCTAAACTTTAAAATGTGATAATTTAATTCCCATGCTTTCAAAATGTGACATTTCAATACCTATTATCAGTTAACTGAGATTGACTTTTGTCATAGCAAAATCGTACAACCTTACATTAGAAATATTTCTCCATAAATAAAATACATAAGTACGAAGATATTCTCAATGAAAGTAAAGTATCCTTAAACGGGCTTTGCCTTGGCCCGAGGACCAAAATGGCAATATGGCTTTTTCGTCCGCCGCTGAAAGCATCACTTCACTTTTGTCTTTTTCAACTTGTTAATTCTTTGAACAGAGTGTGCCGTGTGCTGTAGAAAGGTTGGTCGTGTATAAACCACAACGGATTAAGCGTCCAATCATAAGTAAATACACCATTTTTCCGTGTAGATAAACGCAAATGTTCGGAACACTGACGTGTTCACTTGTTATTGGACAAGTAATTTGTTTTACACAGCGTTGCCAACAGCAGATGTCGTGTGCCCAGTAGACTGAGTAGAGTATGTCTACTGTAATGTCATTGAAAGACATAAATACCCTTTCCTTTCTTAAAAATCAAAACACTTATAAACCATTAATGGATTGTTGTCCGCTTGCCCCTGAGATGAGAGAGAGGTGATCCACCATGGCGATCACTGGCGGGATCAAAACCCTAGATTGCAGTACTCTGTCTCCCGTCCGATCTTCGCTTATTCGTCGAAATCCCCGAATTGCGACAGAGAAATCGGGTGGGATCTTCTGCTGCTCTTCCAGACTCGTACATATTGATCCAAGAGTAAGATGGTTGTCTGGAGATCGGCTTTGCCACTCATCATTGCCGTTGCTTTGATGACTTTCGAACATTGGGTTACGATTCCTTCGTGCGAGGTAGTTTCCCGCGACAATGTTGAGGATGATTCCACCAAAGACTCTGGGGAGTTGAAGGTGATGATGGTGGCTAATCTGCTCCTACTGGGATCTGAAGCAGGTTACACGAATATCTATTTCAGAGACTCTTTTACGGCCAAGTTCTTTAGGGTATCAATAAAAATTTCCTTGCTTTTCTATATTTCTATATCGTCAAATTTTGCTTTTGGATGAAGGTGAATGAACTTTTCGTCAAAACTAGTTTCATGGGGTTCGTCATATTTTTCTTGAAGGAAAATGAACTTCCAACTTTTCCCCCTTGATCTTCATTGATAAAATATTAATGCTCGGCTGTGTATTTTTGTAGTCCTGTATCCATACTGTATCAGAAATCTCCTAATATTAATATAATATGATCATACCATATGAGTTGACCCTATACAACTAACTGAAAAGCATTCGAAACTTGAACCTCCTAGTTGTTAATGCATGTACCTATTTTTCTGATATTACCCTTCCTTTTATTTTTGAGCAATCTGGATTAAATGCGGAGTCCAAATTGCTAATGGAAGACAAATAAAACGAGTTAAAGTCAGAACTGACTGTGCAGTAACCTTGGCGCTTTTGTTGCTCCACAACGTTGCCACTTTTGAACTGATTGTGGGCTATTTGTTCCCGGTTTTGTATCCAATGAGATCTTTGCTCGTTGGAGAAAAGCTAATCGGGATTGTAATTGTACACAAAAAGGTGTAAATAAAACAAATATCACAAATGAGGATCAATGTATCGTGGTGCCTAATTGGGGTGCTTTTTACATGCATTAATTTGCTAAGTTATCATACTAGACTGTACAAATCGTGTCATTTCCCTCTCTTGCTCAAATTTCTTTTCTAATTTCAACTTTGTATAATGCACATAAGCTGTATTATTCAATAGACATATCCTTTTTCTGTGTCATACGTATTTTTATCTTTATTGATACTGAATTTTATTTTGAGGTTATTTATTCATTTGTTCTTACTTATTTTTGAACTAGAAATCCTTTCACAGCCTGAAGCCTGATATGTTAATTGTCTTGGGAGATGTTTCTGCAAGAGGATCAGATTTAACACATGATAAATGGTTGTCTGTGATTCAGCAGCTTCAAAGGATGTTGGGTCCCTTTCTTGGTCTTCCCCTCCACATTGTTCTTGGTGACAGGGATATTGGAGAATGCAGTAAAATCAATGCCAAATTTGTTAATCGGATTGCTAGCAATTTTCCTGGATTGGACTCAGCTGGTTGTGGTTCCTTTGAAGTTAGCAATATTAGCTTTGTCTCACTCAATGCAGTTGCATTGCTCTGTGGTGACAATGATCTTCGTTTTGGTGTTGAAAAGATAATAGAGAAAGAAAGTGTGGACCTGCAAACACATACCAATGCTGCAACAGAAATTGCAAATGAGACTACCAATTCTGAGACAAATTTCAGTAATTTTGTATGGAGAGAGAATACCATGTTATCTGGTTCAGGTCCCGTCCTCCTACTCCACTTTCCCTTGCACTCCACATTAAATAGCAACTGTGCGGCAGTCAATGCTCTTAATCAGTCCCCCTCTCCCTGTCACCATAAGAGTTTGAAGACATTTGGTAATCGGTAAGTAGTTTCTCTATGGGTAATGCATCTTGATTCTGCTGGATTTATCTTGATAAATCTGTTACTTATTTTGCAATATATCCATGGGTTATGAATTATATTCTACTCTTCTGCATTCATCTCAAAGTAAAGGCTCAAAAAATGTCATTAATCCTATATTTACCGGCTTGCTGTTTTGAAGGCATCATGTAACTTCGTTTCGCACAAAAATGTGTTCTTAATGGTGATTGTCCATATTGTGGTAAGTTCCTGACTTATTTCCCTTGAAATTGTTTGCAGGAGACTTGCTGGGGCGGGACCATATGATTTGTTACATACTGTCCCCCCAAATGAAACTGAATATATATTTCAAGCTCTTAAACCAAGGTACTTTTGTGTTGGAACTTGAACTCAAAAAATGTTTAATATGCATGCTCTTCCTTCATCTAAATTTGTAAACTGTTGTCTTTTGTCCTTTGAGTTGACAGTTTCCTATGATTCATTATTTTTGTCAAATCTTTCTACCAAGCAGTTATTTGTCCTCTTTTGGTTGATTGTTCTATAATCTTTCTGGTTTTAGAAAATTATTTTTTACTTATTCATGTGATGCTTAGTGTTTTTTCCCCTCCCATAATCATGAGGATGCAAATGCTTAGGATATGGGTATGAGTCAGTCATGCTTCATTGTTTATAATGGTGTGCATTTTAATGTGTAACAAGTTTGTCCTTTTGGTCCCTGAATTGTCTGGGTCTTGCAAGTATCCAGATTTGTTATCAGCTTCCTTTCTGACTTAATTTCTCCTTTTCTCTAACCATTTGTTTCCCATTCCTTACTTTAGTTGTCAGACTGGGAGGTAAATTTTAAGAAAAATAGAGGAATCTTATGAATAAAGAGTTTCCTATGATGATGTTTTGGTATTTTTACTATCATATTTACAGGACAGTGATTGAAAAGGCGTGCCTAGGTGCACAGGTGAGGCTCATTTCAAAGCTTGTGCCTTGCCTAGGCCCAGGTGAAGCTACTTTAGAATGGCACACACTTGGTGTGCCTAGGAATGGGCCTGGTGCATCTCACGCCTCAGTCCAGGTGCGTGCCTTTGTTAAATTTGGTGCTTTTTGTACTTTTTTACATGTCAGCAATGTGATCACATGTGACCTATTTTGCTTCTAACAAGGATATTGCTTTAGCAGACCAGAATGTTCTATTCCATGTCAACAGAGTGTATATCAAAGATTTTGACTGTTTAGTTTGTATTTACCTTTTTCTTTTAGTGATAAGTCGATATGTGATTAACAACTTGATATTAGTAAACCACCAAAAAAGATACCAGATTACTTTTATCCAAAAAAAAGATACCAAATTACCAGTAAACTAAATTTGCATTGAATTTCTGAAGTTACATTTTCTGTTTTCTTCTGTTTGTTTGGCTCTACTAGTATTCCTTTTCACCTTCAATTCATGTGGCGTTACCGGGTCAACTTCTACTTTGTGTATTCTGTGTCCATAGATACAAAAAGAGAGCCAAATTCAGAAAAAAGAACTATATGGCCTATTCCTGAAAAATCTGCGTGTTCCTACCCAAGAGTACAACCTACTCCAAAAACCTTTCAGTAAGTTTTCTTCTATGTTAAATTTATTTCCGAACAGTCTTTTGTTTCTTTCTGTCGAGATTGTCCAAACCACTATAGCAAGTCCTGCCCCCTAAATAACCTTGCTTTCTTTTGATAAATCTTTTAACACAACCAATAAATTTTCTCAAAAGCAAAACTGAACCTCAAATAACTCCAAAAACTTTGCCCATAGGCTTCTTGCAACTCTACAGTGAATCAGCAAATGGTCTGAATCTTCTGAAGCTTCTCCACACATTATACACCTGCTGGGCAACACACTCAAATCTCTCATTGCCAACGCATCCACTGTTAAACATTTATCCACACTGCCACCCATAATAAAAGAACAGCTTTTGGAGGGACTGGCAGTGTTCCACACTTTAGCTTTTGGGAAGTCCTCCATCTCCATCTCAGTGAGTTTATTGTAGAATGATCTGACTGTGAAGTTTCCTGCTTTATCCCATTTCCAAAGTTGCTTATCCCTACTCATAATATCAGGTGTAATGGCAAAGGTTTGCTGCATCAGCTCCATCCATTGCCCAACCTCCCAATTATTTAGGTTCCTTTTTGAAAACAGGGCACCAAACTGCTGTACCTCCTTCCCAAGGAATAGCCTCAGATGCCAAGCAATCTTTATTTTGTGCAACCTCAAGAAGATTGGGGAAGCTTACTTTAAGTGGTTAATCTCCACATCAAAATCAAACCAAAATTTAATCCTCGTACCAACTCCCATCACAAACTTAATCCCTTTTTTTTGAACTCTACAAAAGATTTTTGGATGCCTCTCCAAACGGCACACCCATAAGACATGTTTGTTTGTGCAGGACCTTGATTCAAGTTACTTGCACCATATTTTGCTAAAATAATCCTTCTCCATTAAGTGTTGGGTTGCTCATTCCATCTCCAAAGCCATTTACCAAGACAAGCCACATTAAATTTCCTAAGCTTCTTCACCCCCAAACTCCTTGCTTTCCTTGGTCTACAAACCTTACTTCATTTGACCAGATGAAATTTAAATTCTCTTCCACCCTTCCCATAAAAAAGTCGCATTTTCTTTTCAATTGTCTTGGTAGTAGTGCTTGCTGGAATAGGGAACAGAGATAACAGGTAAGTTGGAAGGGAGGAAAGAAAATTCTTAATTAATACCAACTTCTGTCCTTTAGTTAAGTATCTCCCTTTCCAAGATGCTAACCTCCTCTCCACCCTCTCCACCACTGACTCCCAGATGTTCTTTGCATTGCATTTCTCCCCCAATGGCATTGCTAGATACCTTGTGGGCTGCTTACCCACTTTATATCCCACACCAGTAGCCAACTGCTTAGTTTTTACACCCTCCCCAACTACCAAGAGTTCACTTATGAAGATTAATCTTGAGGCCTGACAAAACCTCAAACCAAGTGAGAATCATATGGATAGTTTCCATCTGCTTCTGTGATGCATCAGCAAAGAACAATGTATCATCTGCGTACTGTAGCAGTGCCACCCCTCCCTCCTCACTGCTCCTAAAACCTTCCAAGAAACCCCTTCAACTACCCTGTGGACAATTCTGCTTAATGCTCTACAATGCAAATGAACAACAAAGGGGAAGGGGGGGGGGGGGTGTTCCCCCTGCCTCAAGCCCCTTGAGTTGTAAAATCTACATACTGGCTTACCATTCATCATTATCAGGAAACTCACTGTTGTTACACACTTTCATTCAATTCCTCCATTTGCTACCAAAGTTAAATCTCTCCAGCATGTAGTCCAGGAAACCCCAGTTTACATGGTTGTAGGCCTTTTCCATATCAACTTTCAGGAACACATCCATCATCCAGTGCCTCACTTCTTAATCTTGAATCAATCAGCTCATTTGCTACTAAAACCCTGTCTATAATCTGCCTCCCATCCACAGAAAGCACTCTGAAATTCAGAAATAAGAAGTCCCATGACTCTTATCATTCTCCTTGCCAGCACATTTGCTATTATCTTATACACACTGTCCACCAAAGTGATAGGTGTTTCTTATACACACCATCCACCAAAGTGATAGGTCTATAGTCTCTTAGACCAACTGCTCCTTTCTTTTTCGGGATTAAATTTATGGAAACGGAGCTTGGAGTTTAGACTTCTTTCCAACACTCCATTATTGTGAAATTCTTCAAATACCTTCATCAAATCACCACCAATGAAGCTCCAACTTCTCTTGTAACATTCCCTTGTTAAACCATCTGGTCCTGGTGCTTTATCTGCCTCCATTTCTTTAATTGTCTCTAAAACTTCTACGGTAAACACACCTCCAGCAAACTTGCTTTGTCTGCAATCAATAACCTGAAATCCAAACCATCTAATTTAGGCCTCCGGCTCCACCTTTCTCTATATATATCTCTATAATAATTAATTATAACCTGTAGCCTGTTCTCCTCTTCAATTTTCTCCCCTTCTACCTCTAACCTCTTAATACAATTCTGCCTTCTTCTGCCATTTTCCAATTTGTGAAAGGAGGTATTTTTGTCCCCATGTTTTAGTCATAAACAGCTGGGCATCTGTCGCCACGTTGTCTCTTCTTGATAACAGATTGTCAAATTCCTTCTTAGCATTGATCCTCCCCAATTTCTCCTCACTCACAGTTCCCCTTTCTCCTCAGCCCTATCCGCTCTTGTTATTGTCTCAAGACACTCCTTTTTCTTTGGTTCCACCCCTTGGAAGGTTTGCCTGCTCCATTTTTTCAGCTCTTTCTTCAGATGAATCCGCTTCCTACTAAACATATGGCTTGCTGACCCCACCACTTGATGCTCATCCCACCACCACTTCATTTTTTCCAACAAACCTTCCTCTTCAAACCACATATGTTCAAACTGGAAAGGAGGATTTTTGACAGAAGGGATTCCTCCACAATCTAATAAAATAGGGGAGTGATCAGATAGTGGTTTGGGTAAGGCTTCCTGGGACAAACGAGGAAAATATTCTTCCCAGGTTGTTGAGACAACAAAAGGGTTCAGCTTTTCTAAAATGGGGTCATCTTGATTGTTTGACCAGGTGTATTTTTCCCTAATAAGTGGTAAGTCCACCAATTCCCAACAACTCATGAACTATCCAAAGCCTCTTGTTCCCCTGCAACTTCTCTGTCATATCTTCTCGTGCAAGAATCTGATCATGTTGAAGCCCCTCCCCCCCGCCTCCCCCCAATCACCCAAGGGAAGTCCCAGAATTCTTTATATCGACAGTACAAAGGTAGTTAAGACATTTGTCTATCTAATTAAAGTTGAATAGTCTATTTTGTCTGAGTTTAAGTTGTGTGCCCCATACTTAATGAGGGACAATATTGTCTTTTGTAATCCAACACATAGAGTATAAATACAAAGTGGGTCAGCTGGGTGATGGGACTTTTCTCCTCCTAGACCGTGCCCTTTCTTCTCCTCTTTCTCTCTTTCTCCTTCTTCTTCTTCTTCTTCTCTCTTCTTACCCGGAATTAAACTAGGGCTAGTTGATCTATTCACAAAACTGAACAGAAATTGAGAACTGCCCCTTTTGACCTTTTCTACCTCCCTTGTCACCACAACAGAGGGATCCCACACCAACAATAATCCACCCACTGTTCCCCTTGCCAGAATGAACTCCCACTCACACTGCCTATGCCCCCAGATGCTTCATACTATCTCTCCATCCAGATCTTTCAGTTTTGTCTCTTGCAAACAGAGCACCGAAGGATTCCATTTTCTCAAAAAAAAAAAAAAAACCTACCACCACCCTTCTACGACCTGAGTTTAAACCCCTAATGTTCCAAGATATGATTTTTAACTGTTCTGTAACTATTGATACTTCAAAGTTCCTTTTCTCCCTACCTTGCTGCTATTATCCTTCTTTTCTCCCTCCTCCCTTACCCTGTGCTGAGCTCCCAGCTTTGTCGTCCAGCTCCCATGAGACCCTAAATAGCTCCCTGTCCATTCTCCTACCTTTCCTTTCCATCTCCACTACTGCCCTTCTCTCTATCTCCACTAGTAGCCATATGGTTGCCGCTCCATGCCTTTGAACAGAACTCCAAAAAATTCCCCTAAAGACACCAACTTTGAGAGTACCCAAGGAGAGACCTCTTCCTGTTCACTTGCCAGCTCCCAGCTTGTGATGCACCATGGAATCATTGCTCCTGATTTGAAGCACTTTTGTGTTTGGGTTTGATATATCTATTATAGAGGGCTACTGGATAACTACCATCATCTTGAATTACATAAATTTCTTTCCTCCACTCCCTACCAGAGATTTACTCTGTACCTTATACTAAAAGAAATCCTCAACAATGTTATGCTTTAGGATAATTGGTCATTATCTTTATTCTATGGGAGGGCTCATAATTTTATAGTTTTCCCTATATTTTCTCCTTTTCTGAAAGACTGCAAACTAGTATTAAGTTGTTTTCATTTTATCAGCAAGGTGTTGTGTCATTAAGTGGCAGAGTCTTAGTTACTAGAATCTTTCATAAGGGCTGATAGATCAGCCAACTGAGTCTATAAATAACTGTATTCAGATAATAGTGGAAATTGAGCATGGAACGAGAATTTGAAATTTTAATATTTCAGGTGCATGCCCTCTTTCTTCTCTCTCTCTTCTGAAGGTGAATTTCTCTTTTTTATCCTCCTCTTTCTTCATCTATTCTTCTTTTAGGCCCCGTTTGGTTTGCAGGAATAGGGGTCTGGAGTCGGAATGGGCTATTCTGATTTGAACTGTATGGTTGGATGGAATCGGAATCTCATTTCCATTCCTGGTGGAGGAATGGGATTCCCCAATTTGAGGGAATGACCATTCCCTCCCCCTCCCTTAGGAATGAAATCCCATTCTGCTGATTCCAATTCTCATTCCTGTTCTTGTCTGAACCAAACAGATTATGGGAATTGACCATTCTGATTCCGATTCCAATTCCATAGGATTTCGGTTCTGATTCCGGCTGTGAACCAAACGGACCCTTAATATTTCATATTTACTCTATTGGAATCTCTATTCTCATTTCTATGAGTCATCTCTCTTTTTTACCCACCATGTACACTCAAAGGGCTTTTTCTCCTTCCTGCCCTACATCACCCCATTCCTTTGTTTTATTTGATCAGGTATTAAAATTTACTATTCCATAACATAGACAAAGTAGTACTGTTTTCAACACCCAAAAAGAGATTGGATCTCTCATATATCTGCTTAGGGAGCATATATGTTGCAATTCAATGCTTGAGGCTTTTTATCACAAGTAACTTAAAGAAAATCTAGTAAAGGTCAACTCTCCCATGGCCCTAGTAGTTGATCCATTTGCTTTCTAGAAGAATAAGGATATGTAATTCATATGTGATATAATTGTTAATTGTTCTTTTTCTTTGGCAGGATAATATTTAGTGCACATACCCATGAGTTTTATGACCGCACTCACAGAGATGGAACCCGTGAAGTGACTGTTCCTGCCATGACCTGGGATGGAAGGGATGATCCTGGTTTCGTTGTTGCTACTTTTGGACAGAAGAGAGCAGTGACAGTCATCCGGTGCTTTCTTGCTAGGGAATCCCATATAGTAATGGCCTATGTTTCAGTTCTGGTTCTGTTATTATCCGTGGCAATATTGCCAAGCGGTTCTACAAGGTAACTGGAAATCTTTCCAACACCATATGTATTTTATCAATTGATTTATTTATTATCTAACATGTTAATTTTTTGTACATTGAAGTTCTAGTGTACCATTTGTCTTTCACGTCGGTTAAAAATACATACATGCCCAAGAAAGAAAAAAGAAGCTATTTGTTTAAGCTTCAAATGCGGGGGTTTCCTGGACTCTTGGTGCTTTCTTGCATGTTTACTGATATGGCCATTGAGAACATGTATACATCAACAATTCTCAGCTATGCGTCCAAAAAAACAATTAGACTTTTCCCTACTTTGGAAGTTGGAACTAAGATGAAGCTTTCTCAACTGGGGCTAAAAAATTGTTTAATGACCTTAATTTGAAAAATATTAAAATTTCAATTCCTGTCAATCTGTCATAGAGATGATGAGGAATAGAGCTAATGCAGATTGTGGTACCCGGTGTTACTGGACCTGCACCCTGCATTGGAATGTGTTCAAGAGAATACTCAAGACAGAATCCGGATTGGCTGCACTTGTTGACTATTTAACCAATAACGACGCCCCGCATCAGCCATGATCGTGAAGTGAGAGGTTTGAGTGGTTGTGGGGCATATGCAGTTATACGCTTCATGGCTGACGTGGGGTGCTATTATTGGTTGTTAAGTAGCCCCTAAACAGCCATCACGTGTAGGTAAATCTGGACTCCACAGACGGGTGTGAGTGCAATCAATCCCTAAGGTTGTGTTTGGTTGCAGTGAAATTTTATTTGCACTAGTACAAATGCAAGGGAGTGCAAATGAAAAAAAAATGTAAATTGTTGTTTAATTTTGTTTTAGGTTTTACTTTTTTTTGCTTCTTGTCTTAATTTACTTCATTTGTACTGTAATCAAACAAAATAAGGTAAAATTTGAAACAAAAATAGGTCAGAATTTACACTGAAATAATTTGCACTGTCATAGTTTTGCATCAGCACAAATTTATTTGCATTGCAACCAAACACAGCCTCAGAGTCTGTTTGGAAGGAGTACAAATATAAATAGTCATTTACTAAAATACCCCCTATAGTTTCATGAATTTATTAAAACCTGCCGTTTCTGGTTTACTAAAACATTCCTACAGTTTGCACTTAGTTTACTTAATCGACCTTCCATTAGATAAAAGTGGAAAATGACAGTTTTAAAACTAACATTCATTCAAATAAATTTAATCAAAAGAAACTATAAACAAAAATGCCATATTTGCCCCTAGTAAAGCATGAACAACCATTCTATTTTTCTTTGTTTGGTCAAACTTGTTTTTTTACACAAAAGTGTTAGCAGTACTTTTGTAATAAACAACAATGGACTTGTGCCCTTGAACATTTTCCACTCAATTTAGGGGTACTTTTGGAATACACAATCATGGGTTCATGCCCTTGAACATTTTTCACTTGGTTTAGGTGATCATGATACTATTTTCATATGGCAAACACAAATAATTCTTAATGAAAGGTCAATTAAATTAATATGTTACAAACTATAGGGGGTATTTTAGTAAAATGAAAACTATAAGGTAGGTTTAAGTAAATATATGAGGCTATAGGGGGTATTCTAGTAAATGATCCATATAAATATGTAGAGTAGAAAACCTTGTATTTTGTATGTATTTGTACTATACATATTTGTATTATTTGTACTCTTTTCAAATTGAGCCTAAGCTTTTTGGAAACTACCATGGCATTGGCATTGGAAGAGTCCATTTAATAAACTTTGCACAAAATCAATTGCCTCTAGCCATTTGTCGGATGTTCTTGAACTCATAGTTTGCATCATTTTGATGATGGTCAATGCCTTCAAATTCTCAATGGAAATATTATTCGATCACTCGTTCCTTCATCTACTTGTGTTGTCATTTGATGTGTAGTGAATGAGTTGTCTTTTCATTAGGTAATTGGCGGGGTAGAGGGTTTCATGGTGAAGTTCATATATGGAATTTCACGACCTGACTTGGGAATTGTACAGGCGAGTTGATCCACACTTGCACAGCGAATTAAACCGAGTTAATCCTCTTATCTTCCCTTTCGATCTGTTCAAGTTCAACCATCTGACCTTCATCTCTATATGTAAAATATCAGCGAACAGAATGGGGTTAATAGATTAATAGGGCTATACCAACTGGGGTAGCCTCTTCCCCAGAAGGCCACACCCATAACCCCCCAACCTTGGTGGTAATGGCATTTGATGTCAATTCTTCCTCTTCAACTGGTCGGAGAACTTATCGACTGGTAATTACTTCGTTTATGATGTAAATGTTATTTTTTTGACACTCAGGATCTGCTGTTCACCAAGCTGTGTAAAAGGCTGCGTTATCAAATGAACTGCTAGTATTCCGCATGGAATTGGAACGCACATGTATAAAGAACACTGATATAGCCTTTTACTCGCATCAGCGTGACAAGCACTAGATTCAGGTCGGGCTCTTTTTCTAAATAAAAGTGTGCAGGAAAAAAAAAAAAAACTTTTAGTCCTCATCCGACACCCTACCATTCATTCCCGTCCCACGAGGACGAGTTGTAATACGAACAAGCATCAAACTGACATCCTACCATTCATTCCCGTCCCATGAAGATGAGTAGTAATACGAACAAGCATCAAACCGTCTGAGACTTTGACAAGTAAACTTTAAAAAACATATTTGATTTACTCTTTCAAACAAAATTGATAGCAGTAAGCAACATATTAACTTTCTTAAATGCTTAGGATTTCCTAAATCTCAATTTGGAAGAGTATAAATATAAATAAGGAAAATTCCCGATTAGTTTTGGCTTAGTGTCACTTATGTCCCCAAATTTTAAAATGGAACAATTCAGTACTTTTTTAACTTTTAAAATATGCCAATTCAGTATTTACTGTTAATCAGCCATTAAGTAGCATGTGAAAAGACATAAATATCCTTTGGGTGTTATCTATTTTTCTTTATCAACTATCTGCACAATATAGAACCAATTGTAAATTTTTTTGTCCCTTTCAATAACATTATGTTTTTTAAAACCTGTTGAAGTTCACAAAAAACATAAGCTTTATTGACTCTACATCCATAAATAGGGGTGTTCACGGTTCGGTTAACTTGCAAACCAAACCAGTGGTATCAGTTTTTCCATTTCTCCAAACCAAAACTGAATCGGTACCACCAGTTAATCAGCTTGTTGGTTTCAGTTTTTGACCAGTTCGGTTTTTCAGCTTTTTATATTTATAATATATATTATATAAATATATGTATACTATTATATATATAATATATTATAATTATTTAAAAAAAAAATATATATATATATATATAATATTTATAAATAGATTATAAATATAATACAAGTATATATTTATATATAATATATAGAAAATATGTGACATATATTTAAAATATACATATAAATATATACCGGTCAGTTCGGTTAACTGGCATTTTTTGTAGGTTAACTAAAGACCAAATCAGTCGTTTGGTTTTTCAAAAATTCCAATCCAAAATCGAACCCATCGATTTGATTAACCACATTTTACGATTTGATTTTCTTAGTTTGGTTCGATTTTTTAGTTTTTCATGGACACCCCTAGCGACAAATGGTGTTTGTGACTTTATGCTTTGGTCGTCAAAATCCCCAATTCTGCGCTGACGATCATTTTACGAAAAATAAATGAAAAGTGAGAAAAAAAAAGAAATCAGAGTCCAAACGGATATAACAACCATGTGAATAAATGAGTTTCCGAGCTAAAAAGTGGATGATTAGAAAAGCAGCACAAGAACGAAAGAGAAAATTTTGCAGAGATGCGTATGTGAACTATGAAGACTCAAAAACCTAATTCCAATTTCAACAGCCAGTGGAAAACTAGGAATTGTCGGTCCCCCATAAGTTGTTCAATTACCAGACATATTCATTGAATCGGAAATGAGCATTGTATGCAAATTTCTAAGGGCTTTCTTCTCTACGTTTGGATGGTGGAGACTGGATAGAAATTTCTATCCACCTTCCGAAGGAAAATGGTCTTAGGTTTGATCAATTCAGTACAGTATGTGTACTCTTTAATAGAAATAGTTACAGTGCCAATACATAAAAAATAATTCAAAATACAAGTTTTACACACTATATATTTGTATTTGTATTCCTTTCAAACTAAGTCTTAAATACAAGGAACATCTGATGTCCCAGATTTGTAATGTCTTGTAGTTAGCAGATCCAGCGGCCATTTCATTCAAAATACGCCCGGAATTAGGTTTATATCCATTTATCCAGTCCACCCCTCCCGAAGACCCAAGACCTTTAAACCGGGACAGAATTGAAGTATTTGTCCTTCGCACAACAAATTATCAATCTCTGAGATGAGATAGATGTCGAAGCACCCACTCATTTTCTCATTTTCATTATTGATATCCATTCGTTTGACACTGTAAGATGTCAAAGATTAGTCTTGTAATCCTTCGATCGTTAATTCAGTGCCTTAGAACCACTGCCTGGCTTAAACAGAGGCCTATAGCCTCCACTAGTATGCTTTTTCCATCGCTGTCCAATTAAGTAATTAATTACATGCATTTTGATAAGTAATGGAAACAAAGATGGGATATCATGGCGGGTAGGAATCGAAATGGTCCAACTGTTTGGTTGGATGGATTGGAATTCCATTTCCATTCTTGGTGGAATGGCATTCCCCATTTGAAGGAATGGCCATTTCTTTCCTCTCAGCTGATTCCAATTCCTGTTTGAATCAAACAGACTATGAGAATAGACTATTCTGATTCTGAGAGATTGTGATTTTCATTCCAACTCCGACTATGAACCAAACAGACCCTTAGAATTACTTGTGTCTGTTGGTGAAGAATGTTTGGTGTAATTGCAAACAAATAGATGCAAAAGGCAGCACTAGTACTGGTGAAACAGCAAGGTCACCTGACTGCCTCCGCAAGAAAGCATTTGGTTTAGGTTAGATGAACATGAACACAAAGATTTGCAAACTTCTATGCAAAGCTTACTTTGTTTAAGCTTGCAGTTCTACATCCAAGCTCGAAACCCCAGTTGCTGAGATTAAGACAGAAAAATAGTAAATACATAATCTGTAGGGCATAGATTGCTGAATTTGAAAATGGTTACTCCTATGGCCACACTTGGAAATGTTTCTTATTACAAGACTCCTATGACCATGATTCAGAGCATAATGGAAACAGGGTACGTCTTATCTCCCACAATCATGAAATGGGATCCTTCCTCTATCACTGATAAACCATCTTCACGAACTTTACTGAGGTGCTCACATGGTTTCAACACAAACTCAATTTTAGCTCTTTCCCCCACATTCAGGTGCAAGCTCTGGAATCCTACCAACTGTTTCATTGGGCTACCATGTTGATGCTTGACCTGCCGTTTAAATAGCAAAACTGAGTGTTTACCTGCCATTTCTCCGTAATTTGTAACTTCAACAACAACTGAGAACTTCATTCTGTCGCAGCGTTCTTCACCCATTTCTGTTACAGAAATGTAACGCATGGAATTTGAGTCCTCTTTCACTGCATAAGTGGTGACGTTTTCTTTCAGGTAGAGTTGTTTTTGCGAAACTGAGCTGAATGCATAAGAGAAGTTGGAGTAGCTGAGACCATGGCCAAATTCAAAAACTGTTTTCCCTTTGTAGAATCTATAGGTGCGTCCAGGGTATCCAGAAGCTAGATCTGGCCTCATCCTCATGTCGGTCATCGGGACTTTGGTGAACTCCTGGGGGTACCAGGTGACTGGTAATCTTCCTCCTGCATAAAAACATGAATTAGGCCAACTTGATTCAATCCATATCTACTTATCTAGGTATGAAAGTAAGGAGCTAGCATTCCTCCATTGTTTTCTCACTAATCTTTGTATCAAATACCATATAATTTAAACATTTCAATGCTTAAGACTACAAGACTAGAAACTTCTGCTCAAGTGCTCAGTGGGCAGATCCTCTTTTCAATGGAAAAGAGGATACAGTGGAAGAGCATAGTCGGTAAAATTCACCTGGGTTCTGGTCTCCAAATATAATCCCGGCTACCGCAGTGCCTCCAGCTTGTCCAGGATAGCCTGCCCACAAGATGCTGCCAATTTTTTTGTCATATTTGGCAAATGAAATATCAACTGGACCACCACTGAGAATCACCAAAACCACTGGCTTCTTTGCAGCTCTCGAAACACTCGTGATAAGAGCATTTTGCTTTCCAGGGAGTAGCAGGCTATCTCGATCCTTTTCTTCCTTTTCTTGTGTCTGATCTAAACCCATAACCAGAATTACGTAATCCACAGTTCTCGCCAGTGCCACAGCTTCATTGATGGAAGCCGAGGAACATGCTACCGAGTCACAACCTGCATGATACTTGGCATCTGGGATGTAGCCCAGAATTCCATGGAGAATTGAGGGAGCTGAGGAATAACACGGAGGGCCAGCATAGTTTCCGAGGAGCGTTTGTTCAACGTTGGCATTGGGGCCGATTACTGCTACGGAGATGGAATTTGCTAGACTCCTTGGTACCGGGATTGGGAGGAGCTTGTCTGAGTTCTTCAGTAAGACAATGCTATTAGCGGCTGCCTCTATGGCTAAATTACCATGTTCTTCGCTGCAGACATTCTTCGGACTAATGTTGCCGAAAGGTTGTTGAACTGGGTTGCCGTTGAACAGTCCCAACCTCATTCTCACAGAGAAGAGCTCGTGGAGAGCTCTATCTATGTCTGATTCAGACACCTTTTTCTGTTGTACGGCTGATTTGGTGTATTTCTGCAAGTAGGAACCACAGTTGACATCCATGCCTGTATTTTTTCATTAACCACAGAAAGTTAAAAAAAGGTTAGTTTTTTAATAATTGGATCATAATGCCGTAAATCAATGCAAGAGAAAGTGTAAATCCGAAAATTCTCTATCATTGTTATGGTCATGACTCATGAGTGCGTTACTGGAGTTCAAAGAAAAAGGACTCGAATTGGATAAGATTGGAGGCATCCCAACGCGGGATCCACGACGAAAGGTGGTCGAAGGACAAAAAAGAATGGGAAATTCTAATGAAACAGAGAACCAAACGGCGCGATGCGCAGAAATGGTCCGACTACCACGTACCAGCTCTGAGGACATCTCCAACCGCATCTTCCGGTGTCCTAGCATAATGGTGGGTATCGCGGATGATCGAAACAGCATCGCAGTCCGACGTGATGTACCTGATTACCAAATCGGAATCAGCGTAAAAGCAGTATTCGAGTTTTTCTTTGAATTATCCATGAATCATCAATCGGGAAAGTTGGTTTTAATTTGATCTTTACCCATTAAAACCCCACTGTCCTCGCGCAGTTTTGGACAGGAGATTGTAATCTGCACAACTTGGAATTCCATTAACACGATTGTAAGCGCACATAATGCCACTTGCCCGACCTTGATTGATACAACTATGAAATGGAGGCTGATACGTATCTGCTAAATCCTGAAGAGAAACCTGTGCCCCAGAACAAGAAAAGAAAATCGATAAGACCTAATCCAGGACTAGGGCAGAAAGTGAAATGAAACCATTTTCTGCCTTTAAAGCACCTCAATCAACGCCTATAGCCATTACTCAAAGTCTCAAAAAATAAAAAAATAAAAAAAAAGATGAGCACCGATCCATCCTACCAACAAAGTTTTTCGAAATTTTGAACAATGGGATCACTACGATTAAAGTTTCTATGTAGCTAGGCGAAAAACACTTTGCTCGAAGAACGCCCATTTTACCAACAGAGTAAATGCAGACTGAACTAGACATTTTAATTTCTAGGCTGAATGCTAGGAGACCGAAGCGAAAGATGTACTTACGCGAGCATCAAAGCCATAGCGAGTGGTTCCGTTCCAATTATCTAGATCATAAGCAGTGAAATGCTTACAACAAGCTGAAGCTTGGAGGTGAACACCAAGCTTGCCTCCTTCATATGAATCCCCTTGAAGCCCTCTCACATAAGAAATCGCATACGCACTAGTAACCAAGGGATCTTCACCTGGTGTCTCTTGCCCTCTCCCCCATCTGGGATCCCTAAATATATTGATGTTCGGAGCCCAAAACGTCAATCCGCTGGCTTGTCCGGCATTATATATCGCTCGAGCTTCGACACCAATGGCCTTCAGAGAAAAAAATAAAATAAAATAAATACACTTAATAGAATCAAAATTCAAAAAACAATGGAGGGGATACGGGAAGTAACGTTCTTGCCCTCTTCGCAGCACAGCGGGAGTAGTTGAGTTAGGTGCGAACCTTTGCAATGCGGTACCAGAGATGGGCATCAAACGAAGCAGCACTGAGGATGACTTGGGGGAAGCTGGTAGCACCTTTAATGATTCCGTTGAGTTGGATTCCGCGTCCCGCGGAGGTGACGCCGTGCAAGGCTTCCGACCACCACTCGTAGCTAGGAATACCGAGTCTGGGAATCGCCGGCGCATTGTTAACGAGCTGAGAGATCTTCTCGTCTAAGGTGAGACGAGAAACGAGATCTTTAACCCTTTGGGGGATGGGCAGGGACGGATTGCAGAAGGTGTAGGAGGCGGTTGCAGGGTTTTTTGAATCACATGCGAATGGAGGCTGAGTTGCATCGGCTGAGGCGAGGACTAGAGAGAGGTGGACAAGGAAAACGAGAATGGAGATCATTAGGAGCTTCATTTGCTCGAGAGATAGCAAGAAAACGAGAGGCTGAGTTGCAGTGACTGAACTGAAGTCATGGCCTTTTATTCTATTAAGAACGACTGTCCGTGTCCTTCCACCACCACCATGAAGTCCATAATACATTTGTTTGTATTGGCAGTGTGGGCTGTGGCCGTATTTTCACCAATGCCAAATTATGTTAATACCCTTAGCTTTGTTGAAGTTGAAATCTTATGGAATTAGAGTATTTCAACAATGTCGATATCATTTTGCTCCTAAAATCGGTTCTCTCAAGTCTGAACCCTTACCCCTGTTTTTCTTTCCATAGTTGATCCCCTGAATAAACCCTAAGCCGTGCTTTTTATTCACCTAATTCCGGATCAGTATTTGTATTTTGGCCTATTGCCACTTTGGTTTCCGAATTTTAAAATACAACAATTCACTATTTAAACTTTCAAAACGTGTCAATTCAGTACCTCTCCATTAATCATGCGTTAAGTGACATTTGAAAATACTTCACGTATCATTTAATTCTCTTTATCAATCATTCACACATTGATAAAAATTAACAGTTTCAAACACATTGATAAAAATTATCAATCATTTAATTCTCTTTTAATCATTTTTCTTAAACTCGCCATAACTTTTCAAAACGTGAATGTTTACTTTTCAAAACTCACCATCCATTGGAGCATCGTTAGTGTACTTGACAAAAGTTGTCCATATATAAATGCAATTTTCATAACTAAACTGCCCCTTAATGTCAAGTCAGCCTTATTAAATGTATTTTTATGATTAAAATGCCCTTAAGCACCCAAATGCCTTATATATAAGATTTCTATTTGTTGAGAGACGTTTTACTATCATTGTGCCGCTTGAAAATATTTCGAGGAATCTGAAAAAATGGGTTTTGGATGGAACAATAACAGGGTATTTCTGAAATATTTAAAAATAGATCAAACATAACAGGGTTTTGGATCGAATAATTTATTAACACCCGTTTTTAACATACCTTTTGAAAAGTTATGGTGAAAAGTCATAATGAGTTTAGAAAGAAAAGAAAAAAGAATACATATTGGTGCCCCACAAAACGTGCCCTCACATGCAACCCATATGCATTGGGAATATTTTTCATACTTGTCATGAGCAGATGTTTCCAATGTACGGTTTGGTTGTAGTGTGGGGCATGATCTGTGAGGCAAGGTTTTTAAAACCGGACCGGACAGGAAACCGTTCTGGGGTTCAATTCCTAGGTCGAACGGTCTGATCGTCCAGTCTGAATGGATAGTTCACTTTGACAAAAAAATTAAAAAATTTAAAAATCTAAAAAAGGCAAAAAACTATTCCCGGGTCAAACGATTCGATGATCAAACCACCTGAGTCAGCGATTTACTAACCAAATCTACAAATTTTGGCCAAAAAACGATTTTAGAATTAAACAGCAGTCAAATAACCGGTTCCCGATTTTTCCGGTCCGGTCCAGATTTGAAAACATTGCTGTGAGGTATCCATGAGAATTCAGTTTCACCATCCGCTTAACAGCTATGTATTCAGTTAATCCTTATCTGTCTTTACAAAGGACATTAATCGTAGAACATGACCATTTGTTATACATCCTTGTATTTAATATCTTGATCCACCATTAGGTTACTACAATATAGGGTTCAGGTTTATTAAGTGAACTGTGAATGGTAAAATAAATAATATAATGGGAAAATTCTTAATAATGGAAAGATGTGTTTGACCATTCAAAGCACCCTATAAATTTTGATTAATACCACCAGATCGGTCATTGACGGTGAGTTACTTTCAGATATCATCATGACTTTTCGGTATCACACATTCAATGTTTTCTTAAAAGTTATTGCTGTTGTATGTAGCCCCTCAAGTTCCTCTTGTTTTCTTTTGGCTACTTTTCCCGGTATGTTGTTATTGATATCTTTGATGGGCCATGGGTAACAAATTACGTTGAATTGTAGAATAAAGATAAAAGTAGTAGTTGGCCTTAGGCCCTTAGGGGTGTATGCATCATGCATAGACAACACCACTTCCTACTACTGGTCCACCTCCACCATCCTTATCCCCAATTCTCACGTACGTTCACTTTCTTCAACATCTCTTCTATTATCCCATTCCTCCTGCCTTGCTTTCTCTAAAATGCACCACCACCACCACACCTACCCAAACCCACGCATCTCTGACGCTTTCATCACGCTTTCACCTTTTTTACTTTATACTCGACAGTCCCCTTTTATTTTCGTTTCGTTCGTTTCAACTTTAATCAGCCCCTAACACCTATCAATTAAGAGTTTGGATTTCCTCCTTACACTCATAAGGTGTCCCATAGAGTCCACCCCACAATATATCCCAACTGTGTATTATAGGACCATCCCCCGTGACTGGAACATGTTCTCAATGCAAGCGAATTTGAACTCCACACTAACTTTACTTGAAGTTCAATGCACATTGTGACTTGCAAGGAAGAAATTCGGATTCACCAATTGCAATCTAAGAGGTTATTTGATGCCCACACATCAAAGTCTATAAGTCCAGATCTCCTCCCAACAAAAAAAATTCCTTCCAACATGATCTTATTTGTTTAGATGCATGGTTTATCCATAAAAAAAAAAAAAAATTGGTTGTATTGGATCAATGGCGAATTGCTGCAGGGCTACATTGTAAACAAATTAATTGCTCGGTGCTGGACCCAAAGGAATGGCGCTGCTTTTTTGTTCAAGTGAGAAATAGAAAGCCATGAAAATTTTGATAGGGAATTTCACAAAATTTTTGTTAAAAGCTTTCTTTCTACTTTCTATTTCTCTTATTTTCTACCACACCAAATATAGCATTTCAGGTTCGATAGAAAATAAGAGAAAAACAGAAAACTGAGAGCAATTTCTTTAAGAAACTTTGCTAAATTTGTTAAGAATTTTTCTTCAAATATCTGTTTCTCTCTTCCTTTATTTGCAATATATATTTGCCTCAGTTTTGGTGTAGGTTAGGGCAGTCTAGTGCACAATACTCCAGGCAATGTAGGGTCTATATGCACAACCTTACCTTGCACAGAAAAACTGTTTCAGAGATTTGAACCATAGTCACCCAGGTCACAACGAAATAACCCAACCATTGTACCAAGGCCCACACTCTTTTGGTAAAGATTATAAAAATTAAATTTAAATATCATATATCATATATGATTAATATTTAATTACATGCATGCACAATACATATTTTTATACTAGTATTTATAAATAAAATATGTGTAAAATTTATATAATTAAATTGGCAAATAGTATCTTGGGAGTATGGGATACCTTTCACATGTCCGGTCGAGATGGGTCCAATAATTCTGTATCATAAATCAGGATCCATATGGAACCCAATTTCTTGAAGTCCCTATCAATGAATTGATTTGTTTCACATGTAGCAACATAAGTCACTTTCCACTATGGAAAAACATAAGGTTGTGTTTGGCTGCAGTGCAATTTTATTTGTACTAATAAAAATGCATGGGAGCGCAAATGTAAAAAATGCAAATTCTTGTTTAATTTTGTTTTCAATTTTACTTTATTTTGTTTCATGTCTTAATTTACTTTATTTATACTGCAACTAGGAGTGGCAACGAGTCAAGCTTTTCATGAGCCGCTCGAGCTTGGCTCGTGAAAAGCTTGGCTCGACTTGGTTTCAATTGAGCTCGAGCTCAAGCCTATTAGAACTTGGCTCGTGAGGCTCGCGAGCCGGCTCGAATATATATATATATATATATATATATATATATATATATATATATATATATATTTGATATTTAATATATATAATACAAATATTATAATTCTTAATTTTTTAAATATCAAATAAAAAATATTTTATATATAACTTTTTATTTTTATAAAATATTTTTTTCTCAAAATCGAGCTCGAGTTGAGCCGAGCTGAGATCAAGCTCAAGGTCCTGGCTCGAACCAAGCTCGAGCCTTGTAGAACAGTCTCGAGCCGAACTCAAGCCTCGTACTATTCGGCTCAGCTCGACTCGAATCCACCCCTAACTGCAACCAAACAAAATAGGTTAGAAATTAAAAACAAAAAGAAGTTAAAATTTACACTTAAATCATTTGCACTGCTATGATTTTGCATCTGTGCAAATTTATTTGCATTGCAACCATACACAACCTAAGGTTCATATCCCTCCTAGGCCAGCAATGGGTTCATTGATGGAGCCCAATTTTTTGCTTCAAAGCAGAGCATGATTTTATTTTTCTCTTTTAGTTTCATGGAACTACACAAAGAGGGGTAGTTCATCCCCAAACCTATACCCTCTAGTTAAGGCAAGATTGAATCCCAAATTTCCATTATAACCAGTCAGTAGACTTGTTCATGGGCCAGCCCGGCCCGGCCCGACCCCCGGACGGGCTTGAACAGGATTTTTGGCCCACAGGCTTAACCTCGGGCCAAAAAGCCCGGCCTGCATAAAATTCGAGCTGGGCTCGGGCTTTGTCAAAATAGCCCGGCCCTGCCGGACCTATAGTTAAACCTAAGTAAACCCGACCCGACCTATAGTTAAACCTAAGTAAAAACCCTATGTGATGTCCATTTGAATAAATTTTTTGATTTGAGAAGGTTGTTAATTCACTTGTAGGCCCATTGTTCATTTAAATAGGGGAAAAACATCTGAATTAAAGTAGATAATGTCTATTTGAATAGAGAAAAATTCAAATTTCTTTTATTAGGTCGGGCTTCGGGCCTAACATTTTTCTGTTAATAAAGAGTCAAATCTACCGGTCAGAGACCTTACCAACAGAGCCAAAGTCCATGCGTGAGAGAAATCGACTTGGTCCATTTAAAAAGTTAACTTTTTTTTTTCCTAAAAAGTTAACTCCATCAGCTGACTTAAGTGGCTTATTAACCGAAATTTTGATTTTCTATATATAAATGAATCAATAAAAGTTAGAAAATACATATAAAAATGGATAAATTTCTTAAACTATCCTTATGGTTTAGCTAATTGATTAAGTGTACCCTTATTATTTGAAAATTGACTAATACTACCCTTACTATTTCTAACAATTGACTAATACTTCCCCTTACTGTTAATGTTCCGTCATAAGCCAATCAAATGTGCATCTTGTGACTTATAATTTCCAAAAACACCCATCTTACCCT